GCAGGTTTGCTTTCACTAACTGTACGGCGGCTCAATCACTGGTATCTTTTTATTTACAAAGCAATGTTAGGGAAACTTCCATCCTAAATCTGCTCCCTGATCTCACGGCGTATTGTAAATGGCTACTGCCTGAGATCGAATGCTGTGGTTATATTAAATGTGCCAACTGCTAGGACTGTCTTAGGGCATAGGCCTACAGCTTTTAGATGCGCAGCTCCGCTAATTTGGAACAGTCTGCAAAAGGAATGGAAGTTGAGCAGTTTGGTTCCATTACATGTTTTTAAAGCAAGGTTAGATGCTATCCAATCGGAAACTGTTGGTATCTGTAAATGCTACTAGCTATACAAACTGTAGTCAATGTAAATATGCCATTTGTTTTTCTGTCATGTTTGTATTCATGTTGGAACCTACTTGCAGCAGGTCACCATTGAAAAAGAGGTCAATGATCTCAATGGGTTTTCACCTGAATAAATAAAGTTTTTGAATTGAATTTGAATTGAATTCACTCTGGAAATATCTGCTCAGAATGGCCAAAAGTCCATATCGTCTGTAGTGAGTCTCTGTTTCATGGTTTTGGCTTCAATATTTACTTTTCAAAATTATGCCATGTATGTGGCATTACACGTTATAACATTGTTTTACAACAATATATAAAGAAATCAATGCTTTCCAACAGATATATATTCGATTTTTTGTATTCCACTAGTTTTCTTTCTCATCAGAACCTGGTGCCATTACCCACAACACAACTCGACTTGTGTTAGTGCAGTGACATCTATGAAGAAATGTTAGAATTAGGGTTAGGATGCCAGACAGTAATGGACCTCACTAATGCTCTTAAAAGAAGAATATGATATAGTGGCTTTTTGTCATTGCACATATTGTACATAGACTGTATATATATAGATTAATATTTGATTTTGCTCTGTAGAGATGTTATTGCACATTCCCTCATTTAAATAGCCTACCATTACAATTTTAGTCCTGTGGTGTAGTTTTGTGATGACATTAGTGGAGGGCGGTGGTGGGGGGGGGGGACATCGTTTTGTGGAGTTCAGTTCAATTATGGCTCAGGGGTAGCTGTTTGTGAGAGGCCTTCCAGATGGCAGCACAGAGAAGGGATGGTGATGGGGGTGAGTGTCCTCCTTCAGACTGCTGCTGGCTCCGAGGAGCAGTGTGATCTGGAGATGTCTTTCAGTCAGGACGGGGGAGGTCTTGTTGTTGAATCCGGGGCAAAATCCATACAGCCAAGTCCCTAAATCTGCTGGGGAAAATAATTCCCAGAGGAGTGGAGGACGTGTGCAGCAGTAGCCTATAGGTTAACATTGAAATGGGCTGGATTGATCGGATTTATTTATTAACGTCACTGCTCAATTGTACTCTTTCTTTCCTAGAATTTACACATCTACGCCTGCACCTTAACCATTTAACAATTAAAAGAATAGGGGTTAAGCTCTTTCAAACTAATGCACCAGCTGTAACAATGGTTTGGCTTATTTAAAGTGAATCTACCTGCATGTTTCTTGCCGTTTTGAAAATCTATCTTAATGGTTTATTGCACTTTTATAGCTTTAGATACAAATGGCAGCTAAAGAAAATGTAATATATAACGTTATAGCTCAAACCATTAAAATGAGACCTAAACAACACATGTAAGACATTTTAAAAGAGTTGTGTTTTACTGTAATATAAATGTCTATTTAGATGTGTTTTTCTTGATCAAGTGTCTAATACATGAGTGGGAAAGTATTCAGTCCTTCTTTCCCACATAACACATTACTATGTTTTAATATACAACTTGCGCTGTAGCTGTTTTACGAGATAGCGAGTTGTTTTTACACTGGGTGGGCCGTCTCAAGGACGCAGGTGTTTCAGCGGCTCCATGTAACCCAGATACAACACCAGCACTCTTCATTCAGACTTTGCAGACCCGTGCCGTGAACATGTGACTCTGTACTGTTTGAATCCTTTCTTGTGTCGAAAACCTTATTAAAGGCGCCCTATTCTGCTCATTTCAGGTTCATATTTGTATGTTGTTCCTCTACTGTGACATGTCTCCATGCTTTAATGTTCAAAAAGGTCTTTATAATTCTCATGGTGCCTGTGCTGCAGCACCTCTCGTCTGCTCTGATTGGTTAACTGGTCAGATCTGTGCTGATTGGTCAACCACTTAGATGAAACAATCTCTTGAATCTTTATTTCTATAACATATTTCTACCACATACACACACAAATATGTGGGCATTAGGCTATTACAAAGTTATGCTTGTTCTAAAATATGGGTGTAATTATTGGGTGTCAGAACTCAACTAGAATAGTTTATTTTTTAAACACTACATCAATCCTTCATCATTTGAGAGAACACATATTTGACCTGGTGTTGGTGTAGTCTTCAATGCAAGTGAAAACACCCAAAGAAAGCTTGAACAACATGAGAAGTGAGTTTGGCTTGGTGCATGTCCTCTGCAGTGAAACCCTGTTGCTGCATTTTTCATGGCCTGTTCTGTCTTGATCTTACAAAGTGAGCCAGCTGCAGAGCTCCAGCAGGACTAATGCTAAATCCCCTCTATGAGGCTGTTGCGTGTCCACAGATGTAATGCTTTTATATCCAGAGAATGAGTGTGCATAGATCACTTGAGGGAATTGGTTGACATTTAAAATTGTATTCTATTATTTAGTTTTGTGAGTCGGCCGCTTTAAAAATAGGGTGTAAGCGTTATTGAACGAAAGAAAACAGGCTTTATGCTCATTTGGTTTTTCAAACAATGTTTACAAGCCACTTAGTGAAGTGTGAGAGTCACACAGGCACGGCTGAGAGTCTGCTGAAGGGAGATAACACAACAACGTTTAAAATGCCTTTCGAAATGTGAATTGTGTGCCCAAACTTATTATATTTTGTTATAATACAGGGATTCATGTTGTGAGTATGAAATATTCACACTGTGGGTTTAGTTGAATGTGTTACATACATCAATACTTAATAATGGTTGTATTGTTCATCATTATATATATATATATATATATATATATATATAATATATATATATAGTTACATATGATAGCATATATATATATAATACTTTTTTTCTGCTTCCATTTCAATTTGAGATTACCGCATAGTAAGAGTCTGCATGAGGAAGATATCAACAGCTCTGTAAAGTACGCGGTGGCACTTGAATGGGACCCCTGCAGCTCCTGTGAAGTGAAAAAGCCTTTTTCTTCCCGAGATCATGATGGGAGTCGGTGTCAGTGACACACACGCGATATAAAAAAGAAACGCATCTTCACAGGTCTGGAATCTGCAACACCGCCAGGTATGAGCAGTAGTTGCAAGTTATTCTCAACTTCCAATGCAGATGGGTGGTGTTTATCGCAAAAGATCAGTGATTGCAACCCAGGTCTTACGTGGAAAAAATGTTGAGTGTCTCAAGTAATAAAAAAAAAATCGAATTTGTACCTCGTGAAAAAAAACAATGGGGCCCTTTTATGCTTTTTGGGGTTTTCCTTGCCTATTGTGTTAAAGACAGAGGGTGAAAAGAGGTGCTGCAGCACAGGCAGTATGAGAACAATTAAGAGCTTTTTGAACATTAAAGCATGGAGGCATGTCCCAGTAGAGGCACAACATACAAATGTGAACCTGAAAATGAGCATAAGACCTCTTTAGATTAAAATAGTTAGGAGAATAAACACACCAACAGGTTTACAAATTAGTGTATGGCGACTTTTTGCACAGGACACACCAACCTGAAAGAATTGAGAGTAAATAAATTCCACCGAGATGTAGAAGCTTAAAGTGATGGATATATAAATGGAACATGCAGCAACTTGTCCTGCCCTACCCCCCCTCCCCCTACTATAAAAGGTATATTACACACAAAAGGCTGGGAACCACTACAATAGATATTAAATAAGGATCCAGAAGAATGTGTCCTGTGGACATAAAAGCATTTAAACTGACATTATTTGAATGTCTCAGTACACTAAGCCCTTTATAAACACATTAAGTAATTCACTTGCGAAGAACCTTTGTAAGGAAACTGTCAGTACAAATGACCCGGGAGACACAAGATTAACATGCTGTATTTAAAGTGCGGATACACAAAGCACCGTATTGTATCTTTCAGGACACATGACCAGTCAAATTGATGTTATTGTTACTGAAAAACCACAAAAGCTTCAGCTACAGTGTTGAATTCAAAGCTCGAGAAAAAAAAACTTCTTTTGAAATCACTGTTTACTGTAACTAAAGTAATTAGTGTTATGCAAACAGTTGCAGTCAATGCTGCACTGTTTTCTCAGGGCCTGTGGTATCAGAGTGTTACGCCTTTAATTTGAAAGTTATAGAGCAAAAAGCCATGCGATAAATGGTTTGTCCCACTGCAGCTGCAGAGACACGTTTATTGAAATGTTGTATCACATGCATTTAAAAAGGAAGTTTTTATGCAGATTGTCAGCGTGGATGTGAACTGATTACTGACAGTTATGTGCAGCACCTGAGAGACATGCGAGTGACACATCCTTTGTGATCGTTTTGCATCTCTTCAGGGGTCCTTCGTCTCATAATGTTTCCATAAGTGCTGAAAGAAAACATTCCTGTCCCTTTGTTTAGTGAGGAGAAACATACTGAAACACAACCAGGGCAAAGCGTACATCTGTTATACATAGATGTCGTTAAATCCAGGATGGAGTGTGTGTGTGTGTGTGTGTGTGTGTGTGTGTGTGTGTGTGTGTGTGTGTGTGTGTGTGTGTACACGTTTGGCAGTCAGAGTGATGAGCAAGAGGAAGAGCAGGAGGACCCCCCGCCAGGCCTCCTCATGCATTATCAACCCACAGCTCCTCAGCAGGAATCAACCAGCACATACCAGGGTGCCGGGCTTTTATACAGCCGGGGGCAGGTTGGGTTTTTTTTTTTTCAAATATGGGACAACTTTCAGCTCTCCCTGTTCCTCTACTACCTCCCCCGACACACGCAGAGAAATGAACAGATACATCAAGTAAAATACAGGTTTTCACCGTTTAATTAAAACAGATTGTCAGGAGAGAACACAGAAGTGTGCTTGGTGAGCTCAACAGAAATGATGCAAATTCATTTATATATATTTATGTATATACACAATCACTTGTATATCACAAATACAGTATTGCAATGTGAGTCCACATGTCAAGCAGCTGTTACTTGAAGAAATAAAATCTGATGCCGCCTTCATTTCTGGTATTAAAGAGACTATACAGTTAGCCGCATCACAATTACACTTTTTTTGCAACAAGGTGCTGTGGAATGCCTTAAAACAATTCAATTTTGATTTCAGGGATGGATTACAGCAAACTTGTTAACTACAGTCAACCCATGGTCAAATCTGTGACATCATGTGAGGCTTTAATCAGAGACGGTTACAGTAACCCTGAAATATGTAGTGTTCATTTTCACACCGATCACCTTGCTAAAGATTTGAGAAATCATAAAAAAATAAAATATGTCACAGTAGAATACTGACACCTTGTGGAGGAACACGATTCAATGTCTATGTGACAACGTGTTGCTTCTTTCACGTCATTTAATCTCAATTAATTCACTGGCAGTAATACAAATAATAAAAAAGCCAGCATATTCTTCCAAGTCTATGACGACGTGTATGAGATATTTCTGCTATATTTGACCTCCAACAGGAATTAAAAGCAATGCGAGTAAACTATTATTTTAACACACCAGCCTCAAGGCACATTAAATACACTTTATGTGAGAAGTGTTAACGCTGAGAGCTGTGATTACTCCTGCGGCTCCCTCCTCGAACACACAGCGCCCGAAGAATCTCATAAGTCTGCACACAGTGAAGTGTTTTGGCAGCATGTCAATGGCAGATGCAAAATTAAACGCATGTTGTCATTGATTTTTTCCACGAGCTGGAGATCTTTATCTGTCATAACAGTCTGCTACGGAACACGGTCCGAGATGATTTCACATGAACACACTCCAGACGCTGAACTGGATCGATAGGCAGCAGTGATGGGAGCAAACTAAGTGAATCACAGGATATTGGACAGTGCAACAATGCAAGCATGTTGACACCAGCACTTTAATCAACAACAATGAAATGTAAAACGTCCCAGTTAATGATCACCTTTAAAACTCGCCTCTATTTTACAATTAGTCTTCCAATCAGTCATTCACTTAGTGGAAGTTTACGACAATCACCTTTACATTCGGAGCTGGTTGCTCGACCTCTGCTCGCATTAGGGGGTGAGCGCCGCAGAGAGGTGGTCTGTTATCGGTACCTCGTACTTGAACACAACGCTGAACAGCTTCCCTCCCAGGCGGTCGGCGAGCCACGAGTTCTTGATGACGGCCATCTTGAGGCTCTCGCAGCTGAGCATGGCGTAGTAGTTGGTGTGAATGGCTCGGCCCATTCCTTCGATGATGACCAGGTCGATGTTCCGCTCCCGCACCACCATCGCCAGCACTTTGTCCAGACGGCTAGGGGAGAAAAAAAACACATTTTAGCTTCAATAAATTACCATATTAAAGTCTGTCTAACAAACTCTTAACCAGGTGTAAAAGAGGCCCTATTTTTAGGGTTTTCCCTTTCCAGTAGTGTGTTGTATAGGTTTTTCTGCATGTAAATCTAAAATCCCAAAGTTCCCTCCAGAGGGAGTTTCTCTCCCACACACTCCCCCACTGCCTGAAACACCTCCATTGGATTCCTTTGTTTACTTCTGTAACACAGTGACATCACTGTTTTATTTCATTCCTGTACATGTGCCAGAGTTAGGCAAGAGGCTATTTTTCATCTGTTGTCCCTGAACAGATATTATAAGTCAACCTAAAACACATTTCATTTAAACAAGTTAACACAATCAAATTAAAACATGCAACATACATTACTGGAATACTTAAATAAAATTAAGAAAAAGACAGAACAAAAGAACAAAACAAACAAAAGAACATGTTAAAACAGGCAGTGGGTTGTAAGGAGGATTGTGTCAGTGTTGGCAGAGCTGATTCCTCACTAACAGGTTTTGAGTTGGGCAAGCATTTGCATGTTTAATTAATGAGGTTTTTCCAGCTCAACAAGTTGTATTTCTTGAGTATTGGGCAGTGATGTACTAGTGACGAAATGTAAGTTAGGCATCTGACCAGAAGTGCAAAATAGCAGTGCAGGAGTCTACATAATAAGAATAATTATAAATAGAATAATTATAAATAGGCTATAAACAGATGAATATGTACAGTGTAAACGGCATTGACAGTAAAAGGGCTACCAGTGGTTTTACTAGTGTGTGGGACCTGACATGTGACCAGGTCATTAAACAGTAGGTGCATGTGTGTGAGAACCATAGAAGTGGTGCTGTACATCAGAGATGCCTCAATTGACATGTAATCTCTGGTGAACCTAAAATGTGACAGACTGAATTTGACCCTATTACATACTTTCTTAACCTGAGCCTTGAAATTGAGTGTTGAATCAATCATGACTCCGAGGTACTTGTATTGTGACACCACCTGTAGCCTCTCCCCTGATACAAAAACATCTGGCTCAACACAACAGGACTTTGTTTAGCTGAAGAAGATGCATACTGTTTTACAAATATTTAGTTGCAAACAGCATTGTTCAAACCAAGTTGTTACATGAACCATGGTGTTTGTCAGTTCATTAGCCACTTGTGTCATATTGCTTCCATGTACATATATAACAGTGTCATCTGCATACATGTGGATGTTTGTGTCAGGACATACAGATGGTAAATCCTGAAAAGGCGTGAGTAACACTTCTATTGGCTAGCGCTGGAACACATTGTACATGAATTGTACATCTCAAAGCTGTTAACCAATCACAAGAGAGCCGGCCAGCTAACCAATCAGAGCTGGGCTCTGGTTTCAGACAGAGGGTGAAAACAGGTGCTGCAGCAAAGGCTGTATGAGGGACAACAATGTGATATGAGTATGATAATTCCTTCCAGCAAAAACAGGAAGTGTAATTCTAGGTCATTTCCGGGCGAAATTATTCTCCTTCTAAAAATGTCAAATGTAAACAAAATGCTAAAAACCGACCTCAGATCCAGGCAGGGGGAGCTGGAGCCGCTCTGCACCAAGATCAACCTGTCCTCCTCCAGACTGGACCTACACAGCAAACACAGCACAGGTCACTAAAAAGTTTTTTGGGTGTTGAATTATGAGAGCAGAGAGAAAATGATAGAATACTCATGAATGAAAATAAAATGATATGTTTGTCAGATTAAGATATTATGCCTTCTGTGATAACAGATAAGCAGTGGTCTATATTTTTGTACATTGTAAACTTTTAAAAAGGTTAACACTCACTGAATGACTGGATCCATGGCAGCGATGCTTTCGGTCAATATCTGCAGTTCACCGTTCGTTACGTCATTTAACGCCGGACCAGAGTTGCTGGCCAAAACAACCTGAGGGCAGACGGAGAGAAGAGCTGGATTAGCATTTTTATCAACTATGTTATTTTGAAGTGATGTTGCTATAGTTCCTTACCTCTGTTCCTCGAGAGAGAAGCTCTCTGACAAAAGGCATCACACCTAGAATGATGTCTACGCCACTATTATCTACGAAAAACAAGGCACACTTATGAGGAGGACCCTGCAAGAGAAAACCAGGATGGATTGTATTCAAGGACAAATCATCAAGAGCACACAACACAGAAACATATAGGACATCACAAAGCACTGAAAGCTGTTCTCAGTGTTTTTGTTTCTGTGGGTCACACAGTGCTTTGATAAAAACCTCTAAATCCCCACCAGTAATGTAAGAATAATTCATTTGGCTTTAAAATGAGAAAAAGACTATCACCTTAAGTCTCTCAAACCACTGGTCGTAGGAATCAACAAGCCATGGCCGCTCTGAGGGTGAAAACAAAAATTATTAGTTTGATGGAATACCTCAAAGTCCCACCATTTTTAACAACATAAATAAAGAAGAGAAAGAGAAGAGAAATACTTGGAAACCTTCCAACTGCCGTTTAGCCTGTTCAAACCCAAACTCTGGATCAGATTCGAGGACGCTGCATGACATGGAAACAAAATATGGAAAAGTAAGACAGGAATTTGGATCACAGCATAAAGAACAACTTTTTAAACATTGAAATTGGAACTATGTTTGAACTAAGCAGGCCAGAGGTGATATTGTGTCAGTGTAAGGCAAGATTACTGTGGATATCTGGCTCAGAAGATCAACATAAAAACATGTTTCAGAATCATCGGGATGCAGCCGGTTGCTTTCTGTGTTGAGATGGATCGTAAGCAGCCCGGAGGTATTTGAAAGGATTTTTGTTTACTTTCAAATTCATGTTGCAGACTGTTTCAGTCTGAAACCACAGCAGTGACAAACTGATTTGCCCAGGGGACATTTGTGCAAAATGACAGGAGGCCAGGGGCCAGCTAATAAACACACATTGATAACATTTATCACTAAAGATACATGTACAGGCTCATAACAAACATTTTTGTTAACGGTCTTTGTTTCTAATTTAACTTAATTACGTAACTTATTTTCATAGCTACATATGCATGTTAGTTATACTTGCTTTGGTTACATTTGTAAAATTGTATAGCTTAATTATCAGAGCTGAAATCTCTCCCAAGATGAAATCACCATATTGTTGGATGATTTCAGAAAAAGGGTTGAGTATCAATGCTTTGGGTCTTTAGAATATGAAACATTCGCAGAGGGGCTACTCCCACTTTCAGGATAGAAGATCCATAAGCTCCACTCACTCTGACACGGCCTTGGCTCCCCAGTCGAACACGTTCCCGGCCAGGACGCCCCTCACCAAAGCGAACTGCCTCTGCTCCCAGCACAGCCCATCGAGAGCCTTCACCGCCTTCTGGTAGTACTTCAGAGCCATGTCGTTCTCCTGCTGTTTGATCTACAGGAGCACAGAGATAAGATGACGCTAGTTTGAACAGAATACAAGATTAGTCATTTGATGCATTCAGGGACATGAAAAAATGTGATCTGAGAAAGTGTTGAAGACTAATGCATTGCTTTCAATCGGCTTAATGTGTGACAGCATGAGACTGGATAGAATACGCTAAGATCACTGAGGGCCGCTAAAGCAGCTGTGTAGCACAAGAAAAGACACAGAGAAAGGTTGATAGATTTCAGTCAGACCTTGCAGTAGGGATCAGGAAAGTTGAACTCATTTAAACAGTGTTCCCTCGTGTCTAACAGACTTCTGACAGTGAGGGATCCGTAAGCACTAGGTGAAAAGAGAAGCACTCTACGTTAGCCAGAGAGAAAAACAAACACACAAACTGGGGGGGGGGGGGGGGAGACGCATGTTACATTTAAAAACAACATTTTCATGTTCTTGCTTAAAAACATGTCAAACTTTCTATTTATATTGTTGTCCAGTTTAATTGAAAACGCACATGAATTTTTCTGATATCTAGGGCTGTAATGGTTTTCCAATATTGCGTTATACCACGTTGTGAAAAATGAAAGTTATAATGCCGGGTACAGTTGTTTTTCAATGGTATTGATACAAAAAACTACCATATATGTTAAAGGTCATAGGATTATTATTTTTCATGCAGAAATGTAATTAAGATGCTAAAGTGCTGCTAACGTGCAACACTATTCAATTATATATTTTTTTTACATGGGTTTTTATTTATTTATATTATCAGAATGCTGTTTTAATTTCTTTAAGGACCATTGAAACTAAGTTGATAATAATAAAACAAACATATTTTTGAAACACTGCATACCATGATATTTTCTGAGACAGCAGTTGAAAGTGTCATACTGTCACATCCCTACTGATATCATTGCAGTTCATTCTAAAAATGAAACGGCAGAATGAATATGACTCATACTCATGTACTGCACCCAAATAGGAAACAGATTTCTCTTTCATCTACACAGGCATTTAAAGCAGGTATGAAACTAATGCAGAAACTGAGGAAAATACTTAAAATACTAAAAGCTCTGGGTGTAACAGACAGGGTTTGCATGCAAAGCAGAAGCAGTCCTCACAAAGGCTGGTGGCGGAGCGTCTGCAGCTTGTGTCTGTATTTCTGACGGAACTTCTCTGCTCGCTCCGCTGCCTCCGGCATGTCGGGCTGGCTCGCTACAGCTCTCTTCACCACCTGCTCGAAAGAAAACCAGAGCAATCAGCCATGTTCACGAGCTCTTTATTACAAATGTCCATGGACGAGGTGTAAACACTGAATGTATCGTCCATTTCTGGGCTCATTTGGTTTTACTATCGTCATGGATTAAGTGGCTAAACACAGATGAGTAGTGTGACATTCAAATGATTATTGTAAGCGGTCGATTGGAAATGCAACATTTTATGGAGAAACCTACCTCTAAGAGATCCTTTTTTAAATCTATTTTACAATACGGACAGACACAAATCCATAGAAGGGGGGGGGGGCAGAAATTTAAGTTTCTACACACACCAGAATTGCATTGCAGATGAATAGAGTGATGGACAAAGACACTATGCATTACATAAAAGCACATCATGTAAACAAATAGTGTGCGTTTTAATACTTGAACATCCTGAACATCCCTCTGTGCACTTTTCTGTTCTAGTTCTTAGTAAATCTGCACAGCTCTCCACTTTACATTCTACACCTTTTTTTAAAAATATATTTTGTCATAATTTACTATTAATAGCTTTTTTGCCTATTTATATTTATGTTTTATTTTTAATGTTAAAATATTATGTATAGTATTTATTTTAGTTTTGGCCATTTTCTTACAATTATTGTTCTCTCACTTTCTCTATGATGTATGCACCATGCATACATCCTTGTAGGTGTAAGCTTACTTGGCAGTAAACCTGTTTCTGATTTCAGATTCACAGTTTTAAAACAAATGACATTTTTTTTCTTCATTGTGTTAATATTTTTCCTTTTATAAATAGATATTTATTTTCTTTTTCTTCCTTATTTTGTAATAGCTTAACATTTTCTTCCTTTCAGATAATGATACTTTATTTCCGAAACATGAACCTGCATCCTACCCCGTCCAGGGCCTCCTCGAAGCAGAAGAGCCAGTACTCGCGGGCCGGAGCGTCCTCTATGAGGTCCACCGTGTCGGGGATGTAAGACGAAGCGTCCTGCAGCAGCGGCAGATTCACCAGCTTCCTCTCCAGGCGGTCCATCTCCAACATGTCAAACTAGAAGCAGCAAAGAGACAGAGAGAAAACATGCTGTGTGTCTTTTTCGTAAACTCTAAATTCTTCTTCAAACATCAGAGCCAATTTCAGCTATCACTCTTGTTATTTGAGGAGCTTTCATTTGGTGAGTAGTTTTTCACTATCAAGACAACCACTAAGCAGAGAGGAAGATGCAGTAAGGGGAAAAAAGGAGGGAATGTTCTAGCAAGATGTATTCCTAATAGCTAGTGGAAGCCAGCAGATTCATTAATTGTGGGACACAATCAATAGTCCATTAAAGAACAAACTACATCAATAGAAGGTTTCGCAAGTGGTAATTCACAAGAGAAGAGGTGATCATTCATTTGCAGCCCTGGATCACACTACTGAAATCCAGTGAAATAAGCAGGGAAAAGAGTTCATTCCAGGGCGTGTAACGTTAAAAGAGGTTAGCAGCTCCTAATGCTCTACGGAGGCACACCACGCATAAGTATTACACCAAGGATTCAAAAAGTGGGTGTAAAACGCTGTTATGTTCTCATTTTAACCCAAAAGGTATTAGCAACAGACCAAAAAGTGGCAATATCTTGTGCAAAACCAAAATATAAGCTGTAAAATAACTGCAGTCAACAAAGTGACAATCCAGAGTGTCTACAGAAAGAAAACAAGGCACTGTGAGCAGGAGCCACACGTCATCAAACCAGAACACGAGTGAAGCGGACGAGGTACTTACGGGAAACTGAAGGAGAAGGTTAGGTAGACAGAGGAGTGTATGGAGAGGAAATGAAAAGAAAGAAAATCAAAAAAGATGAATAAATGTTGTTGTATGATGTTTATAGAGTTAGAATGGAGGAGATGATGATACCATACAAGAGATCATTGAAATAAAGTTCAATTCGAAAATGGATTGAGAAGTTGGTTGAAATAAGGGCCAATGGACTAGAGGCGGAATGGAAATAGGTTTAAGGAATTCCTCATGGTATATGACCCAGCTTCATAGGGATCACTCTGGCTCCTCCGCAGACTCACCGTTCCACTGCGTGCACGCTGCATGGGATTCATATCAGGAGAGACACTCATCAGGCCCGAGCTCCCCGCATAATTCTCTCCCCAACTGTACTGGTTTGGATCTGGAGGGGTGCAAGATGCATTTATACTTCTGGTATGACATCATGTGCATTTTATTATCATTTGTGATTCAGGTTCATATTTGTATGTTGTGCCTCTGATGGGACATGTATACAGCAACCCCTTTTGAAACCAAATGTAGGTTTATATATACATTTGTGTGTTTTTCCTTACTGTCCTCCTCTGCTCCTTTAAGAAAAGCTCCAATGGCTCCGAGATAGCCTTCATGTCTGAGGAACAAGGCCTGAACTTCACCCTACATACAAAAAACATGACATAACAATCTGAGTTGTAGGGGAAAGCTGATAACACATGGGTAACAATGTGACAAACAGACACTTGGTGCTCTGTGTTAGGGGTTAGTCTGGGGTTAGGTCAGCAGAGGGAGAGAACTTGCCTTGGTGAAGAAGTTGATGCTGTAGGTGATTGTGTGCATGGTGACTGGGTGTCCTCTGATGAAGAAGCCTCCGAAGTACACTCGCGACAGGTTGTGCATCTTTGCATACAGACAGGCCAGCTGCCCGATGTCGTTGCTTATCATATGGAGTAAGCTCTTGGCCATATCTTCTTTAGAGAACTCTACAATCAGAACAGAGTTATAGAAAAATGTGCAACAGGCAAAATATCCACATCAGTTTAAAGGGGACATTTTATGCTCATTTTCAGGTTCATATTTATATTTTGTGCCTCTACTGTGACATGTTTACAGGCTTTAATGATCAAAGTTGAATTGTTATCATATTGCTTGTGTTGCAGCACCCTATGTCCGAAACCATAGCCTAATCTGCTCTGACTGGATATTATCAATATTCAAAACCTGGTCAAAATGTCCACCTGAGGCTGTAAAAATAAATCAACGACTATGCTGCTCTCCAGTTAACACAGGGTAGACAGAGATAGCAGCTGTATCAGAACTAGGTGAGAGGTCATCAGCTCACTCCAAACACAGATTTTGCCATACAACTAAGGGAAATAGTTAGTGCCTTGCCAAGATGACATCATAAACACAGCAGATATATGCATTGGCAACTATGACATCCTTCTTATTTTATATTCACTTCAAACATAACTCAATCCTTTGATATCCTGGCCGATGTTGGTTGAAGCCCTAATGTTTAAGACATCACACCATGTCAGAAACCTTTGTGTAGTTCTGGACTCTGACCTACATTTCAAATCCCACATCAACAAAAGTACAATAATCAGTATACTACCAACGACTACCAGACTGAAAACACTCATGTCTCAACACGAACTAGAGGAACTTGTTCATGCCTTTGTTTTCCCAGTTCAGTTCAGAGCTCTGCAACAGCCTTCCAATAACTCAACAAATAGACTTGAACATGTTATTATTAACTTATAAAGCTTTAAATGGTTTGGGACCACAGTACATGTCTGACAGGCTGCTCTGTTACGATCCAACCTGAGCTTTCACATCATCGGGGCAGGTTGACTCATCGTCCCCAAGTCCAGAACAATACATGCAGAAGCAGCTTTTAGTATTTATGTTGCGCAGATCTGGAACAAACTTTGCCGTTCCATTTTTACGCTTCTGCAATTCTTGCTTCATCATCCAGATTTACAATGTCCATTTTTAACTACTTACTAACTTTTCTCTTTTATGAATTGTCTTATTGAGTTTTATTTATTGTATTATTGTTTGTTGATGCATATGTAAAACACCATGACTTTCTTTGTGCCTGATATATGTGCTATTCAAATAAACTAACCTTAACATTTTATGTTCAGGTTTGTAGCCTGCATTGGCTCAATCAGGTTACAATGGGATCCAATAGTAGGTCAGTGTGAGGACTGAAATGGATGAAGTGTATTTCGGCATTTGAAAACTACAGAATGAATTATGCGCATAAAGCTGTGTTTTTTGCCGGTTTGAATTTCAATTACATTTTTGATACTTTCAATGTGAAACTGAGTCTATAAAAGATTAAATGCTTGATATTCAAAAGATAGTTGATTTAGTCCTGTCCACTGAATTGCACATACAAATGCATACGTTGTGTGTATACAGTTTATTGCCACACTAACCCAGGCATTTAGTGTGTCACCTTTGTCAGCAGTAGCAGACTTTCCAAAACTGCTCGCGATTAGATCTCCAGTCAAACCCAAAGACCCATAAGATCCTCCGTAGATATCTTTGACGAGCATATCTACGCTCGTGTGCTGCCCTTTGGAGGCCAACTGTAGCAACTCATCGAATCCCTACAGGAGAGAAAGGAGTAAAGTCAACAAGGCTGAAGGGAACCAAATATGGAAATAACAAGTCGATCTTTAGTGGAGTCCCAGAGATTACAATCTGTGAGTTAAATCACACTAAGGTTTTAAAGGTACCTTTGTTTTGGTCAGCAAGGCTCCAAGCCCCCAGAATGTGCCTCCACCTATAGAGCTTCCTCCTATTCGCTCAAATTTGTCCTCTGATTCAACCTGTCGGAGAGGGAGAGAATAGGAGTGGCAGAAATACAGAGTCCAATATAAATGGTAGTCATGTGGAAAGAAATGTACAAAATAAACATAAGATGACAAGGTTCGTAATTTGTACATATAAAACACTACTCGCATTGAGTGTGTGTTGCTTCCTTTTTTAAATGTAAAACCTTGGGGGAGAACCCTTCTTTTCGATGATGCCAATGTAAGTGCAATTCTAGCCAAATTAGTTATTTAAAAATGTTTTTAGTTTAAATCTGCTAATATTTATTTATGTTTCTATTTACAGTAGGAAAAAAAAGAAGATATTAAATGTTCAAATGATCAAAAAAACATACCAGTAGGCTTCATAAATCAACAAAAAAAGAAGATTGGGATTGAGGCTGCAACTCATATCTATTTTCATTATTGATTCTGCCATTTTTTGTGTCAGAAGATATAAAACAAATTATTTAAATGTCTGCATATTTTCAGATTTCAGACTGATTCAACATCAGTCCGAAATCAGAAAATATGCAGATTATTATGATTTAAAACAGCAACAAACTATCAAATGTAAGAAGTTGAAACCAGATAATGATCCAATTGTTGGATTAAGCATGTGTTTAACGAGAAGGTATACTTGTCTAACCCACTGACAAAACTTTGATCCGTCGTTTGTTACCTTGACTATGGACACCCCCGAGCCGATGTTTACGAGCAGGTAGGGGAAGATGTCAGGTTGGGTTGTCTGAAAGCGGTACTCTGACTCTGTGTGCTTGGCGAACACAAACGCCTCATGAGGAATGTTCCTCAGCACGAAGTTACAGCCCTTGATGAGGCACGTCATCTCGTCCTCTTTGTCCACTCTGCATCAACACAGCACATAAAGAGTCCATTATATCTGCAGCCATGTGTGATGTGGCTTCATAAGCACATTTGTAGATCTAATTCGATAGATTGATTCCCTTTTCTCTGAGGTGATTTACTTGAGTAACATTGAACTGGAAAGTCGAAAACATATTTTTTTTTTACATTAAATGTCATTTAGCTTAGGGTTTCATCAAAAGCAACTTAAATGCAATACATGCGATCAACCATGAAGTCTGGTGGTATCTCCAGTCTTTTTAAGTGCTATATACAATCAGATGTTTTTTCTTTGCACATATGGTTATTTTTTGCATATTATGACCTAGATATGTAAACAATGCAAGTCAACTATCATGTGAATGTTCTGTTGACATCACACAATGATGGTTAGCAAACAAACTGGCTGCCCTAGCCTAAGTGTCAGTAAAGAAAATACATTCTCTAGAAAAGTATTCATAAGGCCTTCTGAACAATATAGTGTCACAGGCAGAGGACAGGGTATTGCTTTGTGTGTGAATCAGTTACAGCAAGGGCAGAGTTCATTCCAATGTCATTCACTGAAATGTGCCGGATATTTGCCTCCCTTTCTGTTTTTCTTTGTACATGATATGTCTACAGTCTTACCTGTGGGGGTTCCCCAAGGCTCTATTCTGGGCCCAATCCCTTTTCTACTGTACATACTGCCCCTAGGTTCAATTCTCACAAAACACAACATCCCCTTCCACTGCTACGCCGATGATGTACAGATCTATCTGCCTCTCAATTCTAATGTCAAGTCATTACAGCTATTGATGGACTGCTTGATAGAGGTCAAACCCTGGCTGAGACAAAATGTCCTCAACCTCAACGAGAGCAAGACCGAGGTCATCTTTTTTGGACCCCAACCTCCAGCCTCTCCGGTTGATATTCTGGGCTCCCTCAATAAAAAAATCCTCCCCTCTGTCATGAACCTTGGAGTGACCTTCAATAGCGCTTTTAAATTTGACAAGCAGGTCAGCACCGTAGTCAAGACCTGCTTTTTTTTTTTTTTTTTTAAATACGACTATTGGCCAAGACCAAGTTGTTTTTATCTTTTAAAGACCCATAAAGGGTTAATAACGCCTTTGTAACCACAAGGCTGGTTTATTGCAACTCTCTATACGTGGCTATGGACGAGGCGTCAATTAGACGCCTGCAGCTATTGCAGAACGCAGCTGCAAGTCTTCTCACTGGCCACAAAAAGCGTGACCACATCACCCCAATTCTGGCCTCATTGCACTGGCTTCCAATTCGGTTCCGAATTGATTTGAAACTCCTTTTATTTGTTTTCAAAGCCCTAAATGGGCTGGCTCCGGCTCATATAGCAGAACTCCTCCATCGCTACACCCCAGCCCGAGCTTTAAGGTCGGCTGACCAGCTGCTGCTGGTAGTGCCCAAGACCAGGGTCAAAACCCGAGGGCACCGAGCCTTCACAGCTGGCCCTAGGCTCTGGAACACTCTGCGCCTCCATGTGAGGTCGGCCCAGACCCTAGGGGTTTTTAAATCTACACTTAAAACACACTTCTTCTCCCTGGCCTTCTAGTCAGAGCGGAGCACGACTCATGACATTTCCCTGTGTTTGATTTTTATATTTGCTGTTGTAATTTATTGTCTTCGGTTTGCAATCGCAGTAATGTGTTTTTTATTTGCATGTACAGCACTTTGGCTCAACCAAAAAACTTTTTAAAATGTGCTATATAAATAAAACCTGATTTGATTTGATACAGTTGAGCAACAACTGTTTCTGTTGTATCTGTATACTCACTTGAGTCCAAGTTTCCTCTCAATGAGTTCTTTAAACTTGTGTGCGCCTCCACCTGTGGCTTTGATAACTTTGGTGTCCGTGTTGACCAGGTGGTCTTTGATGAAGTCCAAACATGTTTCAATGTAGGCATTTTCAAACTTGATGAAGTGCAGGCGTGCAGTGACCTCTTCCTGCACGGATATTTCATACAGATTGTCATTGGTGGCCTCCTGTGGACACAGATGATGCAGAAACAAAAGGAGGAAGGGTGAATACTTGGAGATGTCCTGTTATTGTAACTGCTATCTAGTTTTTTTAGAGAGCATATGTTATCTGTTGGAGGACGTATTTTGACATGAAAAATGTAAGCCACCATGCAGTTTTGTTAGATGAAGGAAACTAACCTTTGAAGTGTGGTCGAAAGATCGTACTTTGGCTACCTTGTGTTGCACAGTGGAGTAGTAGGCAAGCTTTGTGAGAGACCCACCTGTTCAACAGAAATGCATGAATAAAGTCCGATAAGAAATACATGATACAGTAGAAGGTAGACAAGAGACAACAGCTAGACATAGAGGACAACAACCCTCAGACAAGTTAGCTAGCAGCTAACATTATTTCTGTTGTACTTAAAAAGTTAGTCTGGTGTCTTTTGCACACGTCCGTTTATCAGATAAAACCATCTTTAAGCCTCATGAGACTTCCATCATCAAAGCTAACATACTTGCTGTCACTAGGTGAAATTATTAAGGAATTTAAGTGGCTAACGTTAGCTTATTTACTTTCAGTTAAAGTCATGTGTTGTCATAGAATCAGGCTGCTGCATAGCTGTAAATTAGCCACATTTGCACAAAAGGGGCGGAAGAAATAGAGAAAACTCTTATATTTCCACCTACCTATGTCTATCGCGAATCGCTTTGCGTTCTCCAAATTACGGAATATTTCGTCTGGAGGAAGAATTATGCTTTTATCCATGGTATGGCTACTTGTGCTGCTGTCAACTCGTACAAATTCCGCCATGGTGGGCAATGATTTGACGCTACGTGCGCGGCGTGTAAACGTGCGCGTACCCCGTTATCCAATCAGCATCCACGTTCATTGTGCGGCTTGTGAGTTGTGTAAAAATTTCTCGACCACCATGCACAGTAAACAATTTATCAAAAAAAAATATTAGGTCACAGGCTCCTCCAACAGTGCAACACAATAACACAGATAAAATAGTACAAGTAAACAAAAATAGAATAGAATATAAAAGAAACAGAATATAATAGAAACAGTGCAGAATAGTTTATACAGATGTTTTTATCATGTATTTTCACTCCTTTTATCTGAGGAAAATAGTACTATTAATAGTTCCATGCAAACCTGTTAAAATTAGTAGAAAACTGCAATAATGTGGGTAATGGAATTAGTGCAAGATATTTAAAAAATAGTTTGTAATATTGGACATTTTACATTATGTTAGTTAGTTGGTGGTGACCCATATAACTTTTGATGCATGCAAATGATGCAGGAGGAGTCAGCGACTCAGTGGGCTGACTTGAAACCACAATAGTATATATAGAGAACACAACACATATATATTTAGGTTTTGTCTTCTGAAACAGGGCTAACTGTACTCAACTACAGGAATATTTCTATAGTTGAGTGGTTTTGACTAGTAAAACCTTAACCCTTTAACAAACAGCAGCTTTTTGGTCTACTGTGAAGGATATCATAAAGCCTTAATGCAATCGAATCTAAAACAAAAAAGTCATGATTGATGAAAGTAGTAAATCGGTCAGGTTTGACCCGAAGACAACAGGAGGGTTAAGCATTACAATTTCAAACTGTACAGTCACACTTTGTTTTAACATACAGAACCTCATTTTTAAATTCCACTGGAGTTTCCAAGGTTCACAGAAATAATGAATATGTCAGGCCAAAAGTCAGGGATCAGATGTTTGATATTGGATACAGGGAGATGGAATAAGATGTGTTACTAACCTTAAAGCTCTTACATGGGACTATGTAAATGTATTCATTGTATTTTGCAGCTAAATTAAATAATGTAGCTATCCATGTGTTCAAGTGCACGTATATCATTTTACCACTAGAGGGTAGTACCCTGCCATAATAGAAAAACACATTTTTCTCTGCTTCACACAGAGGTGGGAGAAGTACTCAGATCTTGTACTTGAGTAAAAGTAGAAGTACCAGAGTGAGGAACATCTGTTACAAGTAAAAGTCCTGCATTCAAAATGTTGTGAGTAAAAGTACAACAGTATTAGCATCAAAATATACTTTAAGTATCAAAAGTAAAAGTACACATTATCCAAATTGGTCCATTTCAGAATAGTATACAGTATATTATGTTCGGAATATAAATATTGATGCATTAAAGTGTTCTCAAAGCTGGTGAAGGTGCAGCTAGTTTTAATGACTTTGTATACTGCAGGGCAGCTTGTGAATTTATTCCAGGTGGAACTAAAGTCTGATTATATTACACATCATTAATCAAAATCTGTAAAGTAATTAAAGGTATTAAATAAATGTAGTAAAAAGTAAAAGTACACAATTTGCCTCTGAATTGTAGTAGAATAGAAGTAGAAAGTAGCATAAAATGGAAATACCCAAGTAAAGGGCAAGTACCTTAACATTGTAATTACAGTAAGTGCAGTACCTGAGTCAATCTACTTAGTTACTTCCCACCTCTGACTATCAATCAATACAAACTCATGTAATCCAGTACGGTAAGCTGAATAAATATTGTCATCCCTGCATTGTTGTTGAATTAAGATAAGGTTATTCACTGTTCATTTTGTCAGTTTAAAGGATGAAAGGACAGATCAGGATTCAGTTGATGTTTTTTATTCACACAAAAATGAACGAGTAACATCATAGAGGCACTGGTGGTGATGATGCATCACAATGAAAACTTGTAATTCAAGACAATGTACTCAAATAGAGTAGAGTTAACAGCCTCAGTAGTAACAGAGGGAATGGTTTAGTACAAGCTAAACAGAGCAGATCAACTCTCTTACAAAGAGAGAAAATAACTTTCAGATTATTACTGTTGACACTACAGAGCATGATGATGGCAGAACAGAAACACTTCAAGACCCAACATGAGTCAATCATCTTTTACAGAGTAAATCAAGCACATCAAAAAGAAGGCTACCAGAAAGTAGCAGATATTTGCCTAGTCATGTCACTGAATCAATCTTGATCCAAAAGACAGAGGACATAAAGGCAGGTGTGATAATTCTCACAAAATATTTGATCACATTTATAAAATAAAAGTGAATTTATGGTATTCATAGAATACAAAGTTGTGCTACACAATACGGCCTTTTTTCCTACAAGTAAGCGAAACAATCACAAGCATCTTTTTTACTTTTCAGAATAATATGTATGTTAATAACCTTTGACCAATATGGTCATCTCGGTTTGTCTGGTAGTAACTCCAGTCTGTAGGGGTCTACCACGGCCTCCAGGGGGCGCTGTTGACTGGACTCTTCTCTTTGGTGATGCTGGTCTGGACTGTGGAGCTCAGCAGAGAGAAGTCAGCCTCTCTCAGGTTCTTATCAGAGGAACACTGCATCTTGTTGATGTGGTTCAGCAGTCTTCTCTGCTTTTCATTCTGCTGCTGCAGTCGTCTCAGGACACAAACTGTCATCTCCAGGATGTCTGCTTTCTCCAGCTTGGAGTCTGGCTGCTGTTTGAGGAACTCTGGACCCAGGAGAGACTTGATCTGCTCAATGCTGCTGTTGATTCGCTCTCTGCGTAACTTCTCCACCAGAGGCTTTCTGAGCTGCAGATAGAAAAAGAAAGTCATTAATAATCTTATTCTGGAGTTTAGATTTGGCATAAACAACGACAACATCTAAATGACAATATTGAAATCTTGTTGAATCTTGAATTTACCTTGTGGGTCAGAGTGTGAGGCTCCTGAGAGTTGGTCATTGCTGCAGTGATTGTAGGTGCCATGTCTGGATCTCTGTGCTGTAGAGGTCTCTGTCGAGAGAATCTGATCTCTGCTGGCTTCATCCCTCCTATTTATAGTCCCACATCTCCATATGAATGTGTGGGTCTGGGTCTGACTGCACTTTCTCACAGTCTCAGCCAATCAGAGAGCTCAGAGAGACAATGAGAGATGCAGCACACTTAATGCTGTTATTGCCCGGGGGACAAAGGTTAGATCCCAGGGGAACAGGTGGGGGACAGAGCTCTGTGTGAATCTGGGAAAGTGGTGACCCTGTAGAGAGCAGATCTGCTGCCTGATGCTGGGATCAATGACTTTGACTGAACACACACTCATCATCATTTAATCACACACGTTGAAGATAATGAAATCATCTTATTATGTTTCTAAAACTGAACATGCATATATTTGTGGGTTTTTTTAAGCAGATGTTTTGAACACTGTCCATTGCATAAAATAATTCATCTTGCAGTTGTGGTCACACTAAACACGCTCATCATCATGTCACACGTGTGGAAGACTGACTCAGAGATTGTCCTGAACATTGAAAAACAACTTGAGACTTTTAAATATTGTCTCATTTTCGCTTTTAATTCAAGAACCAGACCCTGATAAATTGATGATGCAAATAAATAAAAAAAAGTCCTGAAAACATGATCTTGAAAATGGTCTTTCCTGTTAAAGTTAAGATATCTAAGATAAGATATAACAGGTCCCACAAATGTTAAAGACCATCTTGCAAGAAATCCTGATTGGTACTAGTTCATATGTTGTGTTGTTCACTCAGTAAAGTAGTAAAGTAATTCAGCTGAAAGTGGTCCAGATGAAACAGATGTGCCTTCTGTCTTGTGACAAGTTGCTCCAGTGAGTGAGGAGTCAGGCAGGGTTTCCCACAGACTGTGATAACTGCAGTACAAAAGCAGCTTGAATGCCTCACTGGCGGCTAGTGGCCCTTTGTTGCTGCAAAAGGCAGAATTTGGCGGCAAAAACCATCTGGAGGAACACAAAGACAGCGGTTGAGCTTAAACGTCTCAAAACGTGAATGGGGATTTGAATGGAATGTTGGTTTCAGGTAATTGACTGAAGAAATGGCCATTCATCTTTTTAATTGTTTTATAACAAAGTCCGTTGTTTGTTAAAATTAGTCAACTTACTTTAAGATTCTTAAATCACATTGAATTTAGAGAAAGTTATATAGTGTTTAAAAATGAAGTCTTTATATCTCTTGTAAAGGTGACATTGCTGATAGTTTGGCATGTGTAAATGTAATAAATACATAGGTTCACATTGATATAATGACCTGATAATCAGAGGGGAAACGAAGTTGGCAAAGTTATAGAGTTTAGAACAGAAAAGAGACCGACTGTGAAAGAAATACAGAAGGGAATAAGGCGGGAAAAAGTGTGCCAACTCCCCTCGGAGAACAGTCAGGTGCTGGTGGGGTCCAGGATGCTAATCACACTGAACTGTGACTCTGCTCTCAAGGCTTTCCCACACTCTGTCCATTGAAAGCGCTCCCACTCAACAATAGACATGTGCCTTGTTAAATGTTAATTCATCCCCACACAAGCAGCTCCCGGCTCCCCTGAGGGTAACGTTTGTTGTTTAGACACTCTTCAATTAGGAGACGAGAGAGCACGAGAAATACAAACAAACATTTTGACTGGGAATGTAATCTAACAAGCAGTTAACTAAGTGTTGAGGTGCAAATATCATGGTAAATAGAGTTTCTTTTAAAAAGCAGTACACAAACATTGAACAAGAGGTTTTTATCCATAGACTGTAATGTAATTGTAAGCTGACAAAAAACAGTTTTTCATGTTTTTACCAATGTACAATATTTGTCAACAGTTACAATTTCTCATTTAAAGACAGATTTTACAAAACTATATTGAGATTTAAAAATCTGAATAGGGTTCAATGGCAAGTAGTTTAACACAAACAAGGAATTAGCTTTGTTGTAAAACACAGTAAGAGGAACTAAGTTGTAGAAAAGGAGAAAATATAGAGCTATTTCAAAAATATATTTTCAAAACGTTTTTAAATAAAAAAAGAAAACAATTATTTTATAAGAAATGTAATTACACAAAACATATTCAAAAAACTAAGTACAACAAAAATATGACAAATTACAACAACAAATAAATGTGTGCATTATTCCAGAATTCAAATGAAAGAGCTATGCCATTTTAAAAGAGGTAGCATTGAACACATATGACAAATCAATAAAAGGAATGTGTATGAGGAATTATATCTGTTATTTCTCTCATTTATTTAATGTATATTTTATCTATGCCCCATAAAACATGTTTTGAAAATGTTAAATAGATTTTAAAGATGGATACCAAAAATACTGTAGGACAATTACACATATTTGAACCCATTTTCTCTAGATTTCTTTTTAACAAACATTTTAGATTTAATTCTCACAGTGGCTCATTTCAAATGTTACAAACAGATACATATAAAACATACTAAGGTTTAGTGAGTAAATAAGGTTCAGTAAAGAATGCCTGCCCCCCCTTGCAGACGTCTTTTTCTGATCTGCCTCTTTTGTCCCTCTGGGGCTCTGTGAGTGAGTTTTCCCTGCTTTCCCACACTCCGTCCATTCACGGCTTTGAAGAACAAAGGAAGTGTGTCTGGTTGCACATCACATTAATTATGGAGTCAGTTTACGAGCAGCGTCTCAGTGCTTCTGAATGGAAATTCCTGTCATCAAGACTCGTCATTACCAGGCTTTTGTAAAATGTCTATCTGGAATGCAGACATACTAAGGATTAATGAACATTCAAAAGCTATTTTCCCCCCCTCTTTTGGATTCAATTTTTTCCTCTGCATTCCAGGCTGTTTATTATGACGGGGGGATAAATAGGGGGTCTATTCCTGAATTGATCAAGTGCTGGTTAGGAATTTGAAGTTAAACTTGTTTGTGAAATCCTGCAACCAAATTGTATATCAAATATGATCATGTTTTTTATCTGGACAGGAATAAAAAAATTGGCTTGATTTGAACTATTTAAAAAGTTCCACTGCATCCAGGATAGTATTAATTTATTAATGTTTATGACTGCATTTGCAGATTAGGCAACATAAACAGACCGGCCTGATGGAGAAGAAATCAAGTAAGCAAGTGCTTTTGCATTGGATAATGTTCCATTAGATACATTTGTACTTACTCAAATGTATGCATGTTCAGTTTCCCAAGAATGTAACATGATTTCATTATCTGGAGCGTGTGCTCAGTCAAAGTCATTGATCCCAGCATCAGGCAGCAGATCTGCTCTCTACAGGGTCACCACTTTCCCAGATTCACACAGAGCTCTGTGAGTCTCTCTCCATCACCNTCAAAATGAACACATTGGGACCTTTCAGAGAGGTAGTTCACAAACCACCCCACTGCATGGCTGGATATGCCAATACTGAGTAGCCTCTGCTTTAAGATGCGATGATCAACGGTGTCAAACGCTTTGGAAAGGTCAATAAACAGAGCTGCACAACTCTGTTTATTATCTAAAATACTCGTAATGTCATTCACCACTTTCATTGTCGCAGCGATGGTGCTATGTTGCTTCCTGAAGCCTGACTGATGTTTAGAAAGGATATCATTTTTACATAAAAACTCCTTTACTTGCTCACTCACTAGTCGTTCGAGTACTTTAGCCAGAACTGACAATTTAGAGATTGGCCTATAGTTATTTAAAATAGTTGCCTCCCCTCCTTTCAGTAGAGGCAGGACATAAGCAGCCTTCCATACTTTTGGAATTGTATTTGTGCTGAGGGAGAGGTTAAAAAGAGAAGTAAGAGAGGGAGCAATAAAATCTGCAGCTATCTTTAAAAAGAAAGGTTCTACGTTGTCCGGGACAGCCGGTTTCCTAGGATCTAACTTGGATAATGCTTCATGAACAACACCAACAGTAAAAGGAGTAAAACTGAAAGGGTTTTCCAGACCACATTGTTCAGAGTCAGGGATTGGAGTGTTCACAGAAGCAGAAGCACAGTCAGTGACATAATCAAACAGAGAGCCACAAGACACAAAATGCTTATTAAAGCAATTTAGCATAGTAGCCCTGTCTGATATAATGCCAGATACTGTGGTGAGGCACGGAGGATTTATTCTGTCAGACCCTGTTGAGGTCATTTTGGGCATTCAGATGCTGAGGATGTCAGATGTGACAGGTTTGACAGGTTTGACAGGCTGAGGAAAGTTATGATGGATCACTCCCTCCATAAAAAAAAAAAAAGGTCTAATCTCTCTCAGACTGTTTTGTCTGTCTTGGTGTATCCCTGCAGCAAATGAGTCCTCCTGATACTACCATACCATACTAATATACTGGTCTCACTGACTGGACTGGCCTCGGAGAGAGGTATCCAAGCAGCCCTGAGCGGTACGCGCACTCGGGAACGCGCCTCGGAGCAGGTGGTGCTCTCCTCCTCTTAAGGAGCAGCAGCCGGTCCGGATGCTCGGCACATCCCGGGCTGCAGGAGCGGAGAGCGGACTACAGAGAGCTGCTGCTGCCGTGTTGAGGTCCGCTGTCAGCCTGCAGCCATTGGACTGCTAAAAGCCTAACGAACAACAAAGGAAAGCAACAAGACAGACATACGCGGGTAAGGAAATATATGTATTGCTTTTTCCTTGTGTATTGCGAAGGTTTGGCTATTAGCTTTTTACGCACAAAAAAGCGTTTTACGTAGGCTACGAACAAATACTAGTTTCGGTTCCTTACTGTTCCTAAACAGGTTTGTGTTGAGGTAATGCTTACATTAGTTAAGAGTGACTTATTTAAATGTATATCACATAATACCTTATTATGGGTTACCCATACAATATATTGTCGCTTTTTCGCAGTCCTGCTGCTATATTTGATGAGAGTCCTCCTTAAAATCACAAGTTTCTTACAATTGTCACGCACAATATACTGTACCGGTTGACATGATTTCCATCTACGCGTAAAAACGCTTCAATCTCGCATCCTGATAATGTCACAAAAGTTAACATCTGAATAGATGCAAAAGGCGTGTTGGTCGCAGAGAGGGTGTCGATCAACTCACATGATTAAGAGCAAGAGTGACTGTTTGCGAGCAGGAAATTTGGTGTGGTTTGACACTGGAAAAATTGAGTTAACCCGACAATCAATTCCACTTTTGTTTGTTGTTTCCCGCTGCTGTCA